TGCCTCTGCCTCTGCCTCTGCCTCTGCCTCTGCCTCTGCCTCTGCCTTGAGTGCTAGGATTAACATTGTGGGTACAGGTTGCTAGATTGCTTTAACTATTACCTTGACACAACCTAGAACGACCTGAGAAGAGAGTCTCGTTTGAGAGATTGCCTACATCAGATTGGCCTGTGGGTAAGTCTTGGAGGTGTGTGTACACGTGTGCATATTGTTTTGATTGTTAATTGATGTAGAAATGTCCACCCTACTGTAGGTAGCACCATATCTCAGGCAGGTGATGATTCTGAACTGCCTAAGAAGACTAACAGCATGCACCTACCCCAGCCAGAAGCCACATCTTTTATACTTCCTATAGTGTTTCTTCGGCTGTGAAGTGAGATCCTTGGTCCAGAGAAATAAAGAAAATGCTGAACTCCAACAAATATCCCCCAGACAAACACAGGTGCTCATTCTAACCTTGGAGGTGCAATTTAGGAGGCAGCACCCCAACGGCACCCATGGCACAAGGCAATGTGCTGCAGAGTCTCCACCCAGGAGACACTACTCAATTAGGGTGAGCCTTTGTACATAGTTTCTAACACATTGTTTATGCCCTGTGAAGGAGAACAGTCAGGCTTGCTGGTGCTCAGATCTGGACAGTGAGTGTGAGCTTCTGTGAAGGTCATTTCTAGTCATTCAATCTCAGCTATGCAGACCAGGCCCATCAGACCAGAGCCGTGTACCTAGGGCCATCAGACCAGAGCCATGTAGACCAGGATCCCTACTGAATAAGAATTCAGTCTTGGGTGAATAAGCTCACAGCATTCCAAGGCTAGAAGTGGAATACCTGGGCCTTGTTTATGTAAATTCCCAATAGAATAACAGGTTCTTTTTCTAGTTTGTTGTTCTTGTTGTTTTCTTGTTTGTTTTTATCTATTAATGGCCTCCTCTCCATTCAGCTTCACCCCCTCAGTGTTCTGCACTGTCTTAGGTGTGTGCTAATTCTAGTGACCCAGAGACATGGAGCTGACTTTACTCACTGCTTGGAATGGGAAGGGAACTCATTCCAGGGTCCTCCATTAGTTGACTGGTGACTGTAACATGCCATATACTGAGAAATTTCCTATTAGTCTTCTGTGATTGCAATCAACCACCTGAGGAAAACAACATATAAGAAGGGTTCATTTTGGCTCCCAACCAGACTGGTTGGCTTTGTTGCTTGGGAGCCTAGGCTGGGGAAAAATGCTCACCTCGTGGATTCTGGGAGGCAAAGAGAGAAGCAGGAGGGGGGCATGATCTAATATCCTTTCCAAGATTACCCCACTGATCCACCTTTCTTCAACTAGCCTATATTTTTAAAAAACGTTCTACCACTTCTCCAGATCCCCAGGCTGGGCACCGTAGTGTTAAAACATGGTCCTTGAAGTAACACTTACTCTTCACATTCCCTTAGCTCAAACTATGACATCCAGAGTCCAAAGCACCTATTAAAGATGGGGAGATCAGGATACCTCCCAGCCTCGGAAGAGAAAGCCCCTCCAGGCTCTTTCTGTGTCAGCAGGAAGGTGAGCAGATCACACACGTGGAATCCAGTCTTCCATTGCCATACAGGTTATGGCTACCACATCTGCACAAAGGCCATCAGCATCATGTGGGTATATGTGCATATGCGCACATGCCAAGGCACTTGAATGGAGGCCAGAGGACATCGTTCAGAAATCTTTTCTACCACGTGGGTCTCAGATATCAAATGCAGGTAGTTTGGTAACAGCAAGCCCATTCATCAGCTGACTTGTCTCATCAGCCCCATTTGTAGCTTATCAAACATACAGACTAACCCTAAAGCTTTAGAAAGCACACTGTATCTTCCAAATACCAGCCAAACTTTCCAGGTCTTACAGATAGCACAAGAATCTATGTACACATATACTCACCTGACTGCAGACAAAAGCAAGCAGAGTCTTGCAGATTTGGGAGGCTATTGTGTGCATTAGAACCTGTCTGTTGGGCCATATAGGGATCTGATGATGGCAGGGCTCTGGAGGCAGGAAGGTCATGGGTCAGGCAAGATGGTTATGGAGTTTTCAGCTAAAGCTGATAGAAGCAGCTTTCTGCACCAAGCACCATTATTCACGAAAATCATTCCTAGTACATGACAACTCATTCCTCCTCAGAGTTGGAAACTCAACTAATGCAAGAAGTGGGCAAATCACGGGATTGAAATGTGGTTGAAATGCAAGCCTGGACTTCAGCCATCTGGATGGATGTCAGCGTGTCAATCTCATTTCCAAATGTCCTTTCACTACACTTCTTGAAACATTTCCCTTTCAATGATAAAGCTTTGAGAGCCAGAGGCAGGAGC